AAGCTGCCAAACCTTCCCGTACAGCAAATCAACAAGTAGAGCAACCAAAGTCTTCTGTCGGCCAGAGCCTGTGACTCTGCCCGACATGGACACTGCACACAGACACAGAGATCCCGGCTTCTTCTTCTTCAGCTTCCGCCGGTCCACTTTCCTGTGCAGCTCCGTCTCCTCAAGAGAAAAGAAGTTCGCAAAGGCTTTCAAGCCAAAACTCCCAAGTACATAAGGCTGAAAGCCCGTAACTTGCTCCTGTCTTCTCCCACCTGTCACGTTTTCTCGGGCCCACGCCAAAATGCACAGAAAGTGCTCCTGTAGTTCTGCCGAGGAGTTGGCCTTGACCGATTGCAACGCTTCGAGCGCTACTGCTCTTCTGCTCTAGCGCTGTGCAGCCACGACCGAAGTAAAGCAGCACGAATGTCAATCACTGAATTGTCGAGCTTCGTGCCATTGCCTTTTCAAGAACGTGGCTAGAGTACCTTATTCGCGGCACTTCTCGCAACTTTGGGGGAAGGAAACGCTAGCGGCGGGCAAAGCAGCTTGAGCTCCAGGCTTACTGCTGGCCATCTCCAGGAGCACCCCTCTGTCACACCGGACCAGGCGCAGCAGCTCCTCTGCACTCCGCTTTCGAAAAAGCACAAAAACCACAAAAAACAGAAACGGCGAACGCAAAAGAAAGGCTCAGAGGCCACCGGAGCTCCTCTGCAATGAGGTCTCTCTGGCTTTGAGAGGCCATCCTTGGAAGGTTGTCGAAGGTTGCAAGGCACCACGACGAAAACTGCATCTTGCACGCCTGTTGCTGCCTGTTTCGCCGCAGGTCCCGTGCTATCTTCTGCAAAATGATGCACCTTCTCATTCCTCGCTTTTTCTCCTCTTCAAATCTAAGGCACGGAGTTACACACCCACACGTGCACCTGGTACAATTCACACACCATGACACAGCAAACGGCGCATCACCATGTCATTACTGGATGAGGCTCAGCATCTGGCTCGAGAAACTTCTGCACAACGTGGTTCCCATAACGATTCATGGCGACCCTTGGCCAAAGCGGTCTGGCTCTTGCGTCGCGGCAGTCTAGCGCAGGTGAGCTGTCCAAGAAGTCACGCAGTCAAGAGGCATCAGAGGGATGGAGACCACAGACTTCCCCAGCACACCCTTTCACGTTTTTAGGTGCTGGGCTCTTGAAGTCTGGGCAAGATCTGCTCGAGGAGCTGCCTCGGAAGGTGGAGTCTGCAAACATTGCTCCGAAACTGCTTTGACTTGAAAGGCTCTGGGTCCCTGAGTTGCAGTTTTGGAAGTTAACATGCGAGAAGTGTTTCGTCTTGATCTTAAGACAAGTGCGGCCCTGCAGGGTACTTTTGCCTCCCTGGATGTTCAGTGCCGGGGCGCGGTGTTCTGCATCATGGGGAGTGAGGGGAATCTCGTTGATCCGTTCATGCGCATCACTGTGTGGATGACGACGCACTCGGCTTTCGATCGTCATAGTTACTCCCGCAGTTGACCCGCGCATGTTTGAGCTTCCTCACTTTGAGATTCAGACTGCAGACGCTCCCAGCTCCCAGCGTTCACACACATACAGTGCAGCCCTCAACTCAGCCCGAAAACCCATCTGCTAATCGCGCGATAAGAAGTGCTGCGAGGTGTCATTGCTGCACCCTTTACCTCGATTCCTTGAGCGGCTTAATCAGCTTGTCGACGCCGCAGCGCGCGAGGTTCTCGAGTTCTGAGTGTACCAAGCGTACTGTGAAAGGTGGGTCTTTAACGGTGGGGTGCTTGTCCTTAACACTTCGGCGAGGTGCTTCTTTTCATCTCGGAGCTGCGTACTTAAAGTCGAAAAACCAAAGACCAAAGAGTGGCACGCAAGCATTTCACAGAGTGGTGAAGAGCTTTCATGGGGATACCAGCACGACTACGGCACGGAAGCCTGAGCACTTGGATCCCGGCATAGTATGTTCGTTCTTGTCCCCTACATGCTCAATGATTCGCTGCATCACCTTTGCAGACGTCATGTCGCTTCCCTCAAGGAACTCCTCTCGATTCCACCGCAGTACTCGATGCTCTCGATGGTCTATGCTCATTAATTACTCGCTTCTCGTCATCCTCTAACCTTCGCCTGCAAGAACCTGAACTCCGCACATACAAGAACTCACAAAACCGCATATTGGGGCATTGCAGCCGCGTGACACGGCAGCCTTGGGCATCCATGGCCACCTGCCCCAAACTCTCGACAGCGGGTGCCGAAGAACCCTCTTTTTGCTGACTTAATTGAAAGTAGCAGCACAGAAGTACAGCGGTTGGCGTGTAGTTGCATCGCTTTCAGCATCAACAGCTCAACAAGCTGGCCTGTGGAACACAATCCTTGAGCTCCTGAAAGCTCTGAAGCTGGGCAAACGGTCTCGAAACGGAAACTCTGACTTGAAGAGGGTCACAATGCTCTGCCAGGCACTGCCACCGCTCCTCGAGTATAAACTTGAAGCGCTCTGGCGACAGGGCCTGAAAGTTAGCTGTCTTGGACACAGCCCCCCAAATCTGGCCGACTCTGGCGCTTCCTCTAGAAACCGTTTGACCAAATCAAGTCAGCACACTTGTCTAGCAAGCCCTGCCTGAATGCAGGCTTGCAGGACATAGTTGGAGAAATTCGGCTTGGTGCCGAATGCCTCTTTGCCCAAGATGGGCAAGGTGGACTCTGTCGAAGCACACATCACACACTCCAGAAACCCGGAGCCTGCATGACGTGCGTCCGCAGCTCGCAGATCACCTTGCATGCAGACATGCAAGCACTTGAAAGCTAAGAGCAAGGCAGAGGACATGAACCTAGGACATGAACCTGGTGGTCGCAAGATGCTAGCTGTTAACACAACCTGGCTGGGCCTGGGAGATCAAAAGACGATATCTGAGGCTCGGTCAGTGTCAACAGCACTATTCCAGTCCTCCAGGCAGTATGAAAGGTGTGCACTGAATGCGCTCCATGGCGGCTTGGCACGGCTTAGACTTCGCAGCTCCTTGGCGCCACCACTCTTGAGATGTCCGCCACAGACCAGGAGCTGCCGCACAGGGGAGCTTGCCGAATGCGAGCAAAGCAAGAAAGCAATGAAAAGTCTTATGTGTCTGGCCTGCTGCAATTGCTCGGAACCTGGCTTCGTACAAGCCAGCCTCCAAACTTTCCTGGAGTGCACGGGGATGGTAGTGAGATGGGCGGTCGCAGCAACATGGTATGGCATTTCTGGGAAACACGCCTTGCATGTTGTATTGTAAATGCACATTTTGGGGAATGCCGCCCCCGAAAGGACACACATTGAAGATTTTCTGGCCAGGCCAAGGCGATCGACACTTCGTTTGCAATAAACATGTTGATGTGTGTGCACCAGCCGGAAGCTGATCGAGCAGCCTTTTCTGACCCCGCCGCTCAATGTCGGGCATGTCGACGCTGCTTGAGTGGCCACCAAGTCGTGCCCTGATATATGGGGACTAAAGTATACTTGAACCAGCTGGATACAGGGATGCGCAATGATGGCTATCGGTCCAGCTTCGAATAAATTTCCATGAACCGAAAGACAAATGGCTTCTACGATTCTGCATGGTTCTGCATGCCACTCGCATGGGTGAGCCTAGTGTCAGTCTATGCTTCATGCCGACATTGACAAAATTTTGTGACAGACGCTGCAAGGATTCTGGCTTCCATGGGAGCCGGGCCCCTTGATCTTCTGCTGAACCTGCTGGAAGTCGCGCGCCTGCCGTGCTCACGATCATGCACGCCCTGCAATGGCAAATCCCATGCGCTGCAGCACTGTGACACAATGTTTTCAGAAGTGTGCCTTGATGAGTCCTTCCAGCTCTGCAACCTGCAAGCGATTCACAAAATGAGCACAGCCTGAAGGCCGTGCCAACTGTGCAGGGTTCATATCTGGTCAATCCAGAACCACCTTGCCAGAATATAGTATACAGTGTGTACCGTGTGTTAAAACAACGGCGGACCAAGATGGCAAAGAAGGCTCACCGTAGAGATCAAGAGGGCCTAAAGATGCAAGATGGGCATCCGAGGACGAACATTGCCTCTGCGGAATGTTGGCTCACATGGCCGGCTGAAGGAGACGAGAAGGGGTCCGACTCTGGCCTGCTACGCAAGGAGGCCACATGACACAGGAGCGAACGAAGAGCTTGCAAAGACTGAAAATGCCGAAGTCAGGAAGCCTCTGCCTGTAGTGTGGCCACCTGGAACTCAGTGATGCTCAAACAGATACGAGAGATTGGGCCATCTTGGCCGAAAGACTCTGAGGCTCTCAGTGGATCTAAGGGCCTCCGTGCTTTCGTCTGACGCTGTTCGCTAGGAGCACTAGGATGTACCTGAGTCTTGCGGATGTAGGCTGAATCGGCTCAGAGATGCAAATCTATCAACGAGGTCTCACCGCGTGGTGCAAGTATGACGGAAGCCCATGCTGCGAACATACGATTGCTTGGGGCAGAATTGTGCGGACAAGCTTCAGAATCTTCTTGCAGCAGCGTGTTCAGCAGCCTCCCGCGCAGTTGCCCGGCTGTCGACATGAGACACAGGATGACACAGGCTCCGGACCTTCCCTTTGAACCCCGTACTTGCAGATGCGCAGGACTCTACTTGGCGTGGCTCTACTGCCTTTCGAGGTTGCGCTGGTCGGTCTCTTGTTGGCTCGGGGCGGAAGAACAGGGCCTTGGTGTCAGTGATAGGCGCTGGAAGCAGCGTCCTCCAAAACCATTATCCCGTTTACCATGTCTTGTTTGCAATATTGTTCCTGAGAACTTGCAGTCACCTAAAAGCCTGAGTTTGGTTGAAGAGTGTTTCTGTCCCGCGTCAGTTGTCCACAGTCAGACTGCTGTCGATTGTAGGACAGGTCGGCATGGGACATTCCAGACATGTAGGTCAGGCCGTCGACGACGTTCAGAAAGCTGCACACTCGACATGGCGCCTGCACGATACCAGCAGGGGCAAACTCCAGAACGGGGAGTGTATATTGAACCAGCACGAGAGCTCTCAATCGCCAATGGGTGTCGTGATGGGCGGCATCTCACGAACTGCGTCACCAGATGCTGAAGCCGGTAAGGCCGGTTTGGCCACTATCTCTGCAGCCTTGAGCCAAGCTTTCAGCTCCGAAGCCTTGTAAAGCACAAAGTGAACCTCCAGATTTGGCTTCAACTCTGCGAAATGTCTACAAGCTTCCATGGCCGCACGGGCACCAGCTTCCACTGGGCAGCCGAAGAGCCCGCAGCCAAGTGCAGGGATGGCCACAGCACGAAGAGAGCTTTCCTTGGCCAGCATCAGTGCCGACAGAAAGGTCTGTTCCAGGAGTCTTTCTGCTTCCTCAGGTGCATATGCTGGAAAGACCGGCGCCACTGCATGAATCACGTGTCCCACGTGCAGATCCGCGCCAGCCGTAATTCTTGCCTGGCCCGTTGGACAGCGCACTCCCGGGCTGATCTCAGGCAGATCGGCGCAGAGGCACCTGAGCCGCGGCCCCGCCACGCGATGCAGGGCGGCGTCGACACCGCCGCCACCAAAGTCATCACCTGGGTAGCGGATTGCGTGCATACACACACACACACACGTATAGATATATGATATATGCGCCAATAACCTGAGGCCACACTAGCCGCAACGGTCTAGTCACCATAGTCCTCATCGTCGCCGACAGCACCCAGCAGCCCCTCGTTTGCAGCATTGACGATGGCAAGGTCCTGCTTGTCCGCCACAGGCTGCCACGCGACAATGTTGCCACGGCAGATGACGATGTGGAGCGCATTGAGGTGGAAGCTCCACTGCTCGTGTCGAGACATACTGATTGAGCCGGACTGCTTCACTGCTTCGTGCCGATACGAAGCAGATTACCCGACGGCCCGGCATCTGGACGGACTTCGCATGATCTCACAATTCAACTCAAGCGACAAAGCTGCCAAAGTGGGATCCCGGCCGCAGCAGCTCATCCAGCAGCAGCCTCAAAAAGAAACGCTGAAGGGAGGTTGGGGGAACCCGCCTCTTGACCGTTCCAATCCCGAACCTCGCTGAAGCATACTGAAGCCCGGGCTCCTGCTTGGCACTGGCCGAGTCCGAGTCCTTCCGGAGAAGGCCCGGGACCTGAGCAGATATGGGTGAGATCGTGTTCTCAAGGTGATGCACGAGAAGAGGGGCCTGCGCGTACCTTCCAACTGTTGAAATATCAACCAGATAAGGCCTCGAGGCCATCCGTGACCCATCAATAGACTGTAAACCACACAAGACGCAAGCTCCAATCAGCTAGCTTTCGTCGTTTTTCAAAAGGGTACCCCGAACACACTCCACATAGCAGACTCCTCATTATAGGAAGCCCTAGTAAGGGTACCCTATTTTCAGAAACTCCCTTATAGTACGGCCGAGATCGGGCCAGCCGCAGCTCTTTTGAGGCTCAGATGCGGCCTGGGAGCCTGCGGCTGAGCTGCCCGCCGCGCACCAAAACTGCAGAGAGAGGTCATTCATTGCATGATTGTTAAGCTCATCTCCGATGCTGTGCAGCCGGTGCAAGTTTGGATAAAACACCGGAAAGCACTCCTCTCTCTTGCTTGGCGACTACACTACGCCAATAAATTTGACGTCTCCCCCGCTGCCTGCCCAGCCTTTCCCTCTCTTGTTCTAGAACTTGCAACTATTTGGCCCCGTCTACTTGAGAGCAGGGAGGACGAAAGCCAGCTCCCCGCAGATAGGCTGTCTGTGTACGTATCATAAGGATCCTAAGGGTGTGCGTGGCCCGTTCCCAAAGTAAACATCCGCGCACATGCGTCCCGACAGCATGGCACGAACAGCAGAAATCATCACAGCTTTCTTTCAATAATCGCCTGACAGAAAATATGCTTGCACATGTGACGCTACGGCTTGGCACGTACAACACAGATATTCCTGCACAAGTGACGCTGCGGACTTGTAGGCACCACAGAAACCATCACTGCACGCTGATAGAGCAGGAAAATGTGCCTAAGGGGGGGAGAGGGAGGGCTCTTCTGACTTGTGACTGCCCTCCCCCCCCCCCCCCCCCCCCCCGACACCTTAAATCCCCCATATGTCGGAGATTAAGGCTGGGGAGTCTTTGTCCCATTAGAACGTTTGTAAACAAGAACTCCCGCAAGCTCATTATCTCAATCTGTATAAAATGAGCTCCGGCCTCGGCCTCCTAGAGGTCTGCTGCCACTTCGCATCATTGGCTCCAGTGGCTTGACCAGGGCCTTAGTGAAGCAATCACACAGAGCCGGACGATCCCTCAACTTGGCCGGTGTCCAAGCCGAATTTCTGAGCACAAGACGCAGCATCGGCCCCTGAAGCCAGAAGCAAGTGCCACGGATTCCATCAAGCAACTCTTGACGTGCCAATTGTTGCTGACAAGTTGGCACAAGGCCATGCCTGAACCACGTGTGCCCAAGGCCTAAGTAACTAGACATGAACAGACCGTCAGACCCCTCATCACAATCGACCGGTCTGCAAGAATAGAAGGCGTGCTCAACGATTTCGCAACGGTAACAGTGCAGCACGTAGCAGGAGCGCGGGCTGATGTTGCGATGCTGAGAACAAGACGTCACGTGGCCATGCGTGCCCCTCAGAGCGACATGTGGCTCGTATTGGCTCATGCTTCATCGGCTGGACGGTTCGACAGGTATTACTCTGCAGAAACCGACTGTTCACCGCGACGACCAACGTGTCGACACCCTGATTCTGACAATCTGAAGGCCGTCTGCGCTTCCCAGCCCCATTCCGACGAAAGACAAAACGCCCAACATCACCGGAAGTCCCGTCCTGCCAGCCGCCAAGGCCAAGGAGCTAAGCGGTTCCGAGCCGAGCCAAAAAACAAGTGGTCACCGAGGAGCTCAGGAGGGGCTCAGTATGGCTCAGTGTGACTCGGTGAGTCCCTACATATGCTACTTCTTGCTCTTCGGGGTGGGGGGGGCGGGTAGTGCTTCCTTTGATTCAACCGAGGGCAACATACGACTGAGACCTGAGGTGCTTAGATTCAGGATCTAGAACCTGAAGGTGTAGGCAGGTCTTCTCCAGCCACCCTACTAGTACTGGGTCGCAGCTCAATCTAATTCGCGCAACTACACTTCTCCACACACGAGTCCTTAAAATTCCTGAGCACCATCTGGAGACAAGGAAGAGGACTTTTCATCTGCACTCTCGGCGGAGCACGCGAGCACGTCGCATGTGACTGGCGTGGCCGCATGCACTGCAGAAGGGGATGAATGCGACAACCAAGCGCGAGGTTTGGAACAATATACTCCAGGCTAAGAGGCGGTGACTAGATTTGATGCTTTTCGTGGAGTGGTCAAGGATTTGATGCTTTTTGTGGAGTGGTCAAGTCTTGCCAAATGGAGTTAAGGACATCCTGCCGACTCTCCCACTTGTGATCTCCAAAACCGTCAGCGTGGCGTCGGCATCGCCCATCACCTTTCGAGACACTCGGTAAGAGCGCTTGGTAGGACTTGTGACAGGATGTCATGACACACGGCCCGGCTAAACTAGCAAAGGAACACTTCTTTTCCGGCCGGGAGATTCACGCACACCGGCCCGATGTGCAATCAGAGGACCCTTAAGACATGCGCGAGCAGACGTAGTATTGGGCTCCATGTGTGGGCTCCGCGCAGGAGATGCCATCAAAGTGGAAATTCTCGCGAAGTTGACCTTCGGAAACACCGCTGCGCAGCATGTGCTCCAGGGCCTCCTTGAAATGCTCCGCCCAAAGGTTCTGATCTTTGGCGTATTCCTCAACAATCGCAGACATCGGCTTATCCCCTTCATCAGCCAACATGTTGCGCGGGCAACTGCTGTCGAAGCCGAACGGGTGGTGACTGTCGCAGTTCAATGGGGTGCCAAGCTCGTTCACTTTAATATCCCTGTGCAAAGCCAGGTCGGAGACAAGCAAGGTCTCATGCTCGGAGAAATTCTGAATGCACCTTGCTCGCTCGAAGATGTCCTTCTCCGCTGCAGTCAAACCTTCGGTGTCGTAGACCGGCCGATCACGGATGGTTCGGTTTTCCCCGAGGTATGTGACGCGAGTTGCTTTTCGGCACAAATCACAGCACGGATCTCGGCGAAAGCAATGCATCCGGCTCATGCTCTTGCCCCCCTGCAACTCACAGGGTGCAACCGTCGTGTTTTTGCGATCCAGTCCCACCCATGCAAGACTGCTACCCTCCAGCAAGACACCATCGCTTGTGCAAAACGGGCAGCGCTCATACACATGAAAGACTTGGAAATGCCCACCAGCGACATCTTTGCCGTCCTTGTGCATTTGGAAGAATGTGCGTGGGACCGATCCATTCGGACCACCAACAACAGTCGGGGGGTAGGGGAACTTGTGAGGTCGACCAAGCCTCTCGAAATGCTTGCTATTCATTCCAGCAATGATCCTGAAAAACACCGTGTTCAGCTGATCAGCCTGCTGGTGTGTCCAATCATATCGGAAGGCACTTGTATCCGGATGCACCACGCCAAAGCTATGTGCGCCCATGATTGCAACTGCCTCTCGCTTCGAGAAGTCGAAATTCTTCTCGAAGTAGTCCGCAACTTGCTGGCCGTTGAAGGTGGTGCCGGGGAAAGCTTCCGGAAGCAGCGACTCATAGGGGCGCGGCATGTGCTGCCCATCGAAGGCGGGTCGGCAGACCTCGCAATCATGGCATTCCGGAAGCTTGCAAACCTCGTCGTAACTGCATGGTGCGGTACCTGGCTTGCAGTTGCCCGGGAAGGGTTCGAAGAGACGCCCCGTGGGGACGCAGGACGACGCGCACTGTGGCTGTGGCACGGGTTCTGCTGAGTCTCGCCGACCAGAGAAGAATTTGAGATTTGGCATGGTGATGTTGCAGGGAACCTCAGGCCAACGGCTGTACAATGCCGTCCCGTCCTTGCATGCTTGGTTGTTCTGGCGCAGGCCAACCCAAGCACTCGCCAGTGTGGCGAAAGCCCACAAGTCCGCTCTCGATTTGCCGGTCTCTTTCAAGGACTTGTTGAGTGGAGGCGACCATTCCGGATAGGTGGGCACGGTGTAGATCCTCTCCAGGTGGTCAGCCAGCAGAGCCATGTTGGCATTGTGGCCAGGCGAGTTTTCCACAGAGCCCTCCCTTGGGTGGCACTTGGGCGCCACTCCACGGCGCCGGCTCTCGGAGCCAGGCCCGGTGCATTGGTAGCGCTTGCTTGGCGCATAGAGGCGCCGGAACGCTCCGCCGAGTTGAAGCCGCCCGTTGCAGCCACCCGACCCATCTTTGTACTTCATGCAGCTGTGGAACCCAAACCGCAGCATCATGGGCCATGTGGGAACGGTCCCATGGTCGGGAAAATGATTCCGCCAATATGAGCATGGAACGGTCTGGTGCTGGGTATCATTGGCATCTGGGCCATCTGCAAAGCATTCGAACTTCGACCTAACATCCTTCTTGTTCTCATCCCGTATCCATGGACGGTACTTGGTCGAAACGAGAGACGTCAGCTTCGCCAGGACAACCAGAGCCTCCTCCTCGGTCCATGACGCACCTCTTTGCGACTCTTCCAGACCCCGGTCGCTGAGAAGCATGCCATCGAGACTCCCGCGACGGACATCAGCGCGCGAAAGCGAAGCCTTGGAGTCACGAGAGCTATGCTGAATCAGGGAACCAGCATGGGCAGCGCAAGTGGAATCTCCTTCGCTGCAAGGCGCTTCCGCTCTCACCGTGAGCCAGGGCCACAACCCGTCTAACATCGAAAACAAAACCATCCTCGACAAAACCATCCTCACAGCCATCACAGAATGAGGATGTGAGGGAGCGGTATAGCGCACGCGCGCGCA